TAAAGAATGTTTCAAGATTGTTTTTTTTTTGTTTTTTTTCCATAATGACAGCCAATAATTAACAACTTTGGAGCCCGTTGACTTTCATTGAATGTACAAAACAAAAAAAACAAAAAAATTTCAAAATATTTTATTTTGTGCTTCTCAGGTTTACAGCAACAGTCAGTAAATGATGACATGATTTTCTTTTTTGGGTGAACTATCCCTTTAAGAACAGTAACAAAGTGTTGATGACAAGTATTTGAATGTTCTTCCCCTTTAATCTTATACTTGTATTTAAAAAAAAAAAAAAAAACCAGCACATTTGGACATTGTGCCAGTTTTAATGTCATTAAAGGAATATTTCACCCAGAAATGACAATTAGGTGAAAATACACGTACCCTCAGGGGTTTGTTTCTTCATCAGAACAGATTTGGAGAAATGTATCTTTCCATCACTTATCATTCCAGTGAATGGGTGCCGTCAGAATGAGAGTCCAAACAGCTGATAAAAACATCACAATAATCCACAAGTAATCCACACCACTGCAGTCCATCAGTTAACATCCATCAGTTAAAGTCTTCTCCAGATGTTAACTGATGAACTGGAGTGCTGTGGATTACTGTGATGTTTTTATCAGCTGTTTGGAACATAATGCGGGGTTGACTAGGAGGTGAATAAATGATGACAGAATTTAGGCTCAGCTTGTGGCCCGTCTGTCTGCCTCAGTCTCACCTCTCTTTAACTCGGCTGTGTTTGTGTCGGTCCTCCTGTTCAGCGCGAGGCTCGTCTGAGGCCTCAGTATTGTGTCGCTGTGACTCTCTCTGCGATGGGCTAGCTTTGATCAGCGGTATCAGGAGAGGTTAGGCCGGGAGGTGTTTCAACTCTTTATTCCAGGGGATGAAAGCAGAGCAACAGTAGAAAATCCCGCAGAAGTGGAGCTGCTCTGGTCATGAGTGGAGGGGCGGAGCCTGGAACTCCCGCGGTTGCCATGGGAGACACGTCGTTCAGAAACAAGCGCTGATGAGCGTAACAGTGGGATTCCTATTAAAATACTGTATCATTCATTTGCTCCATAGAGGAAGTGAGTTTATAACAATAACCTATACAATTTCAAGATACACCTACTATGAGCTGTACAGCTGAAGACATATATCTTATGTATATCATATATATATATATCACGTGTGTGTGTGTGTGTGTGTGTGTGTGTGTGTATTTACATTACATTTAGTAATTTAGCAGTTAGCAGTATCCAAAGCGACTTACAAATTAGGCCAATAAAAGCAGTCAAA